AAGTCCGAGCTCTTTTTCACTGCTTATTCCACAGGTATGAGCTATCTTTCAGTCTTTCTGGACCTCTGCATCCTATACATTATTTCTGTGGCCTGATTACTATGTAATTAAGATTTTTCTTCGGATTTTACCTCATTCTACACTAGTATATTCTATTCAGTTGTCCAACATTTCAAACTGTTCTTTTTATTTATTTTCCTATAAAGATCCTCATTACCTCCAAAAAGCCTATACAGATAATGAATGAGATATATTTTTAAGTCATTCCTAAGTCATTGTATTGAAAATGTTATTTAGAGCTGAAGTTTTTATTCACACTGTAAATTATAGGGATATTTTTTTTAACAGGCTCCATCTATCCAACAGCAGTGGCCAAGCTTGGAAAATCCAGCCACTGTTTGTGGAAGTGGATGGAGACTGTTTTCCAGTGGCCACTTGCTTGCTGGGGATGGGGACATGTTCTGGGGGGAATTGTTTGCTGCCTAGGCCTAACCCCCTTGAACAGCTAATACCATTTTTCTGCAAATGATGAGAAAAGGAAGAAGGGAATTTTTAGAGGATAACCAAAACCAAAATAGAGAACAGAAAAGGTGAAGGAGTATTATCACTGATGGCCCTGCTACCACTTTTTTTTTTAATTTTTTATTGCATTTTAGGTTTGGGGGTACATGTGCAGAACATGCAAGACAGTTGCATAGGTACACACATGGCAGTGTGTTTTGCTTCCTTTCTCGCCTTCACCCACATTTGGCATTTCTCCCCAGGCTATCCCTCCCCACCTCCCCCTCCCGCTGGCCCTCCCCTTTTCCCCCCAGTAGACCCCAGTGTTTAATACTCCCCTCCATAGCAAAGACCTGGAATCAACCAAAATGCCCATCGATGATAGACTGGATTGGGAAAATGTGACACATATACGCTATGGAATATTATGCAGCAATCAGAAATGATGAGTTTGTGTCATTTGTAGGGACATGGATGAATCTGGAGAACATCATTCTCAGCAAACTGACACAAGAACAAAAAATGAAACACCGTATATTCTCACTCATAGGCGGGTGATGAAAAATGAGAACACCTGCTACCACTTTTTAAATTTTAGCAACAAATCCTACCATAGAGTCTTCCTCCTACTGTCTCCTGAATTTCCTCTTACAGTGTTCTTGAATGTAGTTTAAAAACTACTGATTTTGTCTTGTCTATGGCTGAATGATTCATTTCTTAACGATCTACAATAATTACACTAGTAGTTAAATGCACCGTAGTGAAACACATCCATACAAAGTTCATAGACTCCTCTTATCTAGCTACCAAAGATATTGCAAAGATATTTAGAACACTGGCCTTTCAGTCATCAGTATTTTGAGGCGTGTGATGAGTAAATGGAATAGCCTTACATCTTTCAGTGGCAGACTGTCCAGAAGAGTTTGCCTTTTTTGCCCCTTCCCCTTAGATGTGGAATATTTCAGAATATATTTCGGAAGAAATACAGAAGAAATAAACAGTTAATTTTAAGCTGAAGATGAGTCTAGCAACCATTTGCATTATATTGATGTCAAAAGTATCTCTCTGCCAAGCTCTGAAATGCACCTTCAAAAACTACTGAAAATATCCAAGAACTTTAGTGATGAGCTACAAATGGACTTTGGTATTGATAAATAAAAGTCAATATGTATAGTAAAAGGACAACTTACTGTGATAAATGGGCCCACCATCAGTAAAGATCAAATTATTGACTATCTAAAGCCAGGAAAAACCTGTCTATAGCTAATTTTTACAGGTGAGAAGAATTAGCTAACAACAGCAATTTAGAAAAAAAAGCAATTTACATGTCAAAGAGACATGTAAAGAGAATTCATTAAAAATACATCCCAAAGTAGGCAGCAGTGTTAACAAAACTAGGCTAATGTGTATCTTTGGCCGTGCCTAGGTTCACACTCTTTTCTTTTGCCTTCAGCAAGCTCCCTTTGGCTTCCCACATTCCTACTCAAGGAGGTCTGATTCAAATTTTACCTTCAGACTACTCTATTGTAGAGGAATTCTCCTCTGCACTATTAAAAACCATGCCCCTCTTAAGAATGTTGCCTTTAGTGCTCTGACTGGTTACTTTTTATCATACTTCAACTAGAGCACAAGTTATATGAGGGCACATTAAAAGTGCCTTCATTTCTTTACTCCTCACAGTCTAGCACAGAGCTCTGCCCATAATAAACACTAGATCAATATTTGCTGATTCATCACTTTGGAAGTGATTCATTAGAGAAGCCTTGGTCACATACCATGTCAGAGTTCAGTGATGAAACATCACAGGAAACACCCAAAAGAACCATTGCAAGGATTAGCTTATCAAGCAAACACACAAAGAAAAAGTAGAATGGCAGTAATTAACCTCTCCAATGCCTGCTATTCCCAACTGGCAGAATGTAGCTACTTCTTCTACAGTAAATTTAATTGGATGCTCTAGGAACTGCCCAGTAAAAATGATAACTCTTGTACCATTTCAAATTTGGAAACTCATCTGTAACCAAGCACTATATCTGAAGAATAACCGTCTTTATTTCCCCTCCCCCACACAAGCCAAACCCTCCAAAATGAAAGGTGGAAGCAAAGTAGTCACATGGTACCTACTAGTGTGAGTTCAATGAAGATCATGCAGTTAAAGCTACACATAACTTTCTGGCCTTTTTGAGAGGTTTAGGATATCAGTTCATACTGGGACCACTTTATTGCCACAAAGGATGGTTGCAGACATGTACTTTGTTTGTCTAATACCATGTCCTCTTCCTCTGTGAGGTCCCTGATTTAGAACAGCATCTTCTGAATATTTATTTTGTGCTAAATATTTGTTGAAGGAATGAATAAATAAATGAATGAATGGACAAAAGTTTTAAATTATGAAGAACAGTGTGTTGGATGGCAAGTGCAATGCATTTGCCCAAATCAATAGAGGTGCTACCTCATTGGCTTTTAGTAATAGATTTAGCTATATGATTTATTTCCTTTTATAAATGCCAATGTAAATATTTCACAAAATTATCAAGTAAGATATATGGAGATAAAAATCATTAAAGTAGGCAAGGAAATCTTGACCAACGTAATATTATTCTGAATGAAACTTCGATTCATTTAACTATACCACTTAAACATTTCACAAACAATCTGTAGATTAAAAAATAATTTGTAAGTATGACCTAAACTAAAGAAAATTAAACTCAGCTACATCAATAACTGCTTAGGCCACACATCCTCTTCTTCCATATCACAAACCAACATCACCATTTTGCAAACATGCATCCTTGGTTTCAAGTTGGTCTAACGAAGAAATTGAACAGATCCATTGAAAAGATAATTAAAAGCACATATCCTCTTGGATCAGGAGGACATTTAACACGGTACTTCTGCATCATTCATGTGTTCATTCATTCATTTCACAGAGTCTTCAAGAATACCTTCTATGGCCTAGACACTGTTGCTTATGAAGTGCATAGAAATATATAGATCAAAATGAAAAGATTGGATTTATTATTGAAAATAGCAATTTCATGCTTTTCTTACATTTGGTTCCCCAAGAAAGGTTTTAGAGAAGTAGTGAATTCTAACTATAGTGGCATTTTCATGGAGCAGAGAAGTCATACCTGCATCCTTAGAGAGTTGGTGAAACAATCTAGAGGGAATATTTAAACCAGAATCATGTTACCGGTCTTCTGTAAAGTGTGTCTATGTGGTCTTCAAGTTACAGACATCAGTGCTATGCACACTCCACTAAAATAAGTGGAGGGGTGTGGCAGGTGTGGACACTACCAATGCTGCTTGGACCTTGGTTGGGCAGGAAGGGGTTGTGTCATGTATCAGATGTGTGAAGTACCACAGGCTCAGCTGCTGCACTGCTCTCTTGTCTCCTAACAAAGTTTTAGAAACAGTGTCCAGGCCCACTCTCCTGTGCCAACAAACATCTTACATATGATTTGCAAATGCATATTTTGTTTATTGCATTTATGGCTTATAAATATATTGCATGTGTTATCATATCAGCGGCTGTGTTTATTGCAGTAACTTACAATAAATAAAATTCCATTGTATTCAACAGTATCTATATATTTAGAATGTTTGGCTTGTGACCTAATTTATGCTATTGAAGGCTTGTTTTATTTTTTCTCTGAGTTTTTTCATGAAGACCAGCCCACTTTTTCTGACAAATATTTTCTAGAACAAATGTAACATGGAAATGTGTTATTTCATGGGGATAATATAGAGCAGGTATTACAACTTGTGGAAAATGTGGAAACTTGCGCCTGTTTCTCAAAACAGAATTAGTGGGTGTCACAGGTTTATAGGAAATTTTAGACTTCTGTACTAGCTTCCATTTCTGATCATAATCCTACTTAGGAAATAGTATCTCATGACAGGTTGTCTGGAGACCTACCATTCAAAACAACAGCCCTCCTTATTATAATACTCAGGTATATTGTTATATTTTAAAATTTACTTTTTATGGTACTAGTTTTTTTGGTGTTTAGTACCATAGTTTTTAATTTCATGAAAGAGAGCCAAAATGTACACAAAATGTTCATTAGCTGTGATTTGTGTGATGAGAGGAACCACTGCCACCAGTACAGAGCTGGTCTTTCTAATCGACTAGGCTGATGGTTCTCTCTGTGTTCCATTGCCGTTAATTGACTATATTGTTTTAGATTTATGCATTAAAAATACGATTTCTACTTTGAAGAGATCACTTTGTTACTTTGTAGCTTTTAAGCTGATGCCATGAACTTATTTTTCTTCTAAGATAAAGTCACATCTATAGATTTTTCAACTAATTACATGTCTGCCAATAAATACTTAGAGGATACATTTTATTTCAATTTATTATTTGTGTTTACATAGTGTGTCCCTGGAAATATCTGTGGAACTGAAAGGAAATGTTTTAATGGTGTTTGCTACTACTTTTTCATCCTCTGTCTTCTCTGTCTCTCTCTCTCTCTCTCTTCCCCCCTCCTTAATAGCTCCAGTCAGTCCAGTCAAGCATGACAGCAACTCAAACTCGGCAAACTTCCAAGATGCGAAGGACATGCCTGACAGATGTGCCTTGGAAGAGTCTGAGAGTCCAGGTGAAAGCCATTTAAAAATAGTCAAGTATAAAATGATAAATTTGACACAGCTTTGGGGTCCTTCGAAGGGGGTGCGGGGAGAGAACATTGTAATGCTGTTTTCTCTTAGCAGCTGCACTGTCAAATTAATGGTCACCTCCAGGGGTCACAGTGTGGAGCTGTTATCTTTTCCTCTTTCATCAAGAATTCAGTTGGAGGAAGTACAAAGGCTTTATGACTGAGAAGGGAAGCTGACACTATTAGTTCATTATCATCAATTTTAGGCTAAATGGTTAATAGAGCCAGAGATTGGAAACTATAGAGGAATGGCAACATTTTTAATATTTCAAATAATGGGATCTAACAAGAGTGGAGGAGAAGTGGACAGATGGAGGTGAAAAGAGAAATTGTCATAATTACAATTCTATTTATCTTCCTAAAAACAAACAGGACTGTAACTGAGTTGAGAGGATTTTCGCATGATGGTAATGAATACTGTCGCATGTTTAGGGAAAAACAAAAGTCTAGAAAATAGTAACCCTTCTCTCATGCAATAAAATCTATTCTTTGTCAAAGTTACACACACACACACACACACACACAGTATAGAAATAAAAGAAATGTACTAGAAGGATACAGCTAGAAACCCTTATACCTGGATTTCTGTTTCTATTTTTGTTTTGTTTTGAAGCATGCCTAGCCTTAAACAACTAATTAGAAGAAAAAAATCCTGTAAAAGTCAAATGAACATTCCTGGATAACTACACAATTATAAGGTGCTAGAAGGTACCTTATTATCATGAATGAAAGAGTTAAATATCTCCTCCACTTCATATTTGTCGTTCCTGTTGTATCTTGCACCTGTGTACCCTCTACCCTCTCACATCTTTGTGTGCTGATCCATGTATCATATTTTTGATTCATCCTCTCTGTGGCCTGTCAGCTTAGTTAAGAGATTTCCAAATCTTGTAGCCTTCGTTGACAGGGGGCAGCTGCAAACAGTCCCCTGATCCTTCCCCAAGGAGAGCTACTGAGATTTAATTTTCAGTGAAAGGTGCAGCCTGCAATCTATGTCAGGTCCCCTAAGTCATCTCGGAACCCCAATAGGTGCAGTGGCAATGGCATTGTATATCAGTCCTCTTCACTCCACCAAGATTCCTCTGAAGATGGACTGCTGCCGTGTGCCCGTTCTCAACCACACTTCTGCTTTCAGACCCCATGGAACTGAGAAAAGGCATCTTTAGCAACGACAGAGATGTTTAATGAGCAAATTAACCCCACCCCCTGCCATAATAGCTAAAAGAAAAATGTAGATGAGTCTCACTCTAAAAGGGAGAAGGTAAATGGTAGTGTCAAATTTCTATAATAAAAATTATTTATCCGTTACTTTTAGTTTTGAATAATTTTGCCAAATTTTGATTCGGTTTTAAAGGTATCTTAATACACAGTTTTCTATCACTCATTTTGTCAGGCAGGTAAATCTGTGAGTCAGGTTTTTACCTAAGTGTTCATTATTTTTGATAAGAATAAATCAGCTTTATACTATTTCAAAATTAGAACAAATTTCTACTTTTGAAATGAGTAGAATGAGAGATTCAAATATAACATTTTCTATCTGATTCATAAACACAAGAGCATTTATCAAGAAAGAAAGATTAATTAGAAAATATAGGTACCGAAAAAGAATCTTAATTCAAAAAGTGACTACAGTTCTATACATCGGACATCATTATACCAGTAATAAAGAATGAATTACTCTGGCTTTTTCCTCTGTCCATTCCTGCATTTTAAGACATCTTGCCTTATAGGCCTAGAAACCTCTGGAGAGTTCACTACTGGTCTCACTGCCTTCCACTGAGAATTTGTGGCTTGGTTGTCATGGAGACATCGTATTTCTCCAAGAATTGCTCATATTGATCCGTGGCCAGGAGTAAATGGCCAAGCCAGTGTGAGGAATAAAGGGGGCTGGGCAGTCCTATAAAATGACCAGGGCTTGTGGGTTGGAAATAAGCTCATAGCAAACACTTAGGTAAAAAGAAAGAAGCAGTTTTATTTTGTTTTAGGATTTCTTTCTGCACTTTGGGCCATTGTCTTCTTTCACTATGAACTGAAAGAAACTTGTTAGTCACTTGTCATGTCAGATCTTTGGTGCTTGTCCTGACACAGCTGTCAGCCTTCCAGCTCTTCGCAGTTCAGGGACACACAACAAAGAGTCAGTGACATGAATTATTTATTGCTCCTTGTGTGGATAAAATTCTGTGATAAGAAATTAAGACACTTCTGACAGAGGTGCTTGTTTTGTAAGAAAGACTTTGATGAGAGAGTGTATTTCCTTGAAACATGAGTACTCGACAGGCAAAATTCTTAAAATTGAACATGGAGGAAAATAAGTTTTATGTTTCTTGTGTGAATTTGGTGGCAGAGAGGGACTGTCTTGAACTATAAAAATATGACTGTCCACTTTTCAAAGTCCAAACATTAACTTCAAAATATCAACTCTTTCAAAATGTAGGGGCTCCAAAACCATAGGCATTACTCTAGTAGTTTAGTTACCTCTATTTACCACATGTGAGTGGTATTTCTCTGGAAAATATTAACTACCTTAGTCAGAGGAAGAAATAAATTTGGGGTTTTTAGGTGGTGAGATTTGGGAAGACATCTTCCAACCAGAAGAGGTGCTTAGTAGTTAAACTGATAATTGCATTAGTATATTCCTTATTCATTGCATGAAAAGAATGCATTTAATTCTGCATGACATTCTTACCATTTTCAACCAGAAGGTTTTCACTCATTTAAAATTTCTTTTAACATTTTTTGTACATGCAAAATCCCCCAGTTACAAAGCCGAATGTGGTCAATCCCCTAACTTTAATGGATATTGAACTTACATGGTTTTATATATGCAATGCTAAATGACTAATATAATTATTACATCATCTTAATGAGTAGATCAGTTGTTTGAACAGCATATAGAAAATGAACAAAAGTATTTTTCCTTGCAAGCACAGTTCAAGGATATTGCTTTCTGTGTTGCTCATTCCACATAAACTCTTTTATTTGCAAATCCTATAAACATCATTTTACTTTAACTCTTCTGGTTTTATATGGTGGATACCAACATATTTTCATATGCAGAAAGCAAAAGGGACACTGAAGCATAGAAAATCTGAATTTTGGAAAAAGTGAAATTAATAATTTGATGTTGATAGAGTTTTAACATGTCATTAACAAGGCCAAGTTGTTTGAATTTATATAAAATAGAATCACTTCATGTATTGCCTCTGAATACAATGGGCTTGAACTCAGTATGTAGATCGTTTATTTTTATATTGACATCCCTCCTTCTCCAGCACTGAATTGACCAGGACGACCCATTTGTAAATGGGCTGCAGTCTGCATATAGGTCACAATTTAGATGCCTTGTGGAGTGGTTGTTCACCTGGTCTCTAGAGCACTCTACCTTATTCTTCATGCCACTGTGATCTCTTTATGGGTTCAAGCTGTATACCCAGTTGAGTGCCTGGAGTCCATTAAGGTAGGCAAAGCACCTTTAGACCAGAACATTCCTGTTACTTTGACCCTGCTAGTGAACCTGGAGGTCTTGTCTGATAGAGAAAAGTATCTCTCAGTAGGGTCTTTTCTTTGGAATAATTCATTAGCAAAGAGTTTTGACTCACAGGTGAATCGCAGATTGAAGTTTCTGGCTCAGACTCTGTGAAGTCTACTTGCTTCTTCACTGGCATTTATACATTCCTGAAACCTGTGGGAATAACTTTGATGTCTAGTAATAGAAGCACTGAGACAATATCATGAACTTGCAGCTCCCTTTTTTTGAGATTTTAGAGCCATTAGGCTTTCTTTCTTTAGCTCTTTAAGGCCTAGTTGCTTCTGAATCTGAAAGATGTTATCATAAAAATAGTTCAGTGGAGCCTTTTGCTAGTTAACTTCTTACTGTTTCTTTTGCGGTGATTAAAGCTCAATTTTCATTCTCTAGAATAATTTTTTAAAGGATTTCTAGTTCCTCATCTTTAAACTCATGATGATAGACAATTTAGTGTGACATTCACAGTTTTTATGAAAGTGTTAATGAGAAATCCTAAGCCTTTATCACCATATTGGCTTGGAAAATTAAGAATTGTCCTTTTTAGTGCACTAGAAACAGTGCACTTGAAAGTAGCTGCAGCTGAAAATAGTAGTGACATGAGAGAATTGGAAGTCCGACAAAATGCATTTACATAAGTGTTTCTACATCATTCAGAAGTAGTTTATAATTAGTATGCATTCTACCATTAATAGAAAAATTTTGTGGTTTTCATAAGGCAGGTTATGTATGTACATCGATATACATCATTGTCAATCAATATTACATTTGCATGAGTCTGATGACCAAAACTAGATTTCTCACAGAGTTTCCAGGGATGCTACATTGTGAAAAGCCAAGGCATATATTTTTTTCTTTTACTATTCTGGCTCATGAATCACCAGCAAAAATCAGGTAACAGAAAGTAGGACAGATTCAGGACTGGAGTGTTGGAGATGGCTGATGATGATGCATGAAGCAGAAGAAATGTGGAATGTGTGAGCAGCCCATCAATCATAGCCATTGAGAACACACTTCTTATGGGTAGTGCTAAAAAAATCTTCTAGAAGAATTAAGAGCAATTTCAGTAGTAAGATATAAGCACTTACTTCTAGTTGTATTTAACAATATAAACATTCTTAAAATTTACCCAAAAGCAAAATTTAAGCATCACCATATTTTTTAAAGAATGTAAAATTATATATTAATACACATACACACACACAAATACACTATACAGTACTGGTTTAACTAAACCACAGTTTTTGCCAATAGGAGTGAAAGTTACTATTCATAAACATGTCATTAATATAAATGTGTTTTAAAACAGTTATTAAGAAACAATGTTCCAATTAGTTTGGTAGTCAAATTGATTTAAAATGAGTGGTTTTTGTTTTGTTTTGTATTTTTAGATTGCAAAGACAATCATCCAAGTAGTCTATGTAAACACTTGTTTGATTCTGTAAGTCAAACAGTATTTCAACTAAAATTTTAAGTTTTTACCCTAAAATGGCAGTTGTGGGTTTTTCTAAGAACAATTAAGCTGTTTGAAATTTATGGAAATTTACTAATTTCAAACTAAATTTTTCTTGTAGAAAATGTTCATCTTCCTTAACAGTTAAAAAAAAAAAAGCCCAGCTATCAATAGTGTATGCAATTAAAATATATTTACCTACTTTATAAGACAAGTATATTTTTATTATATTTACCTGTCTTAAGATGGGAAAGACATCTAGAAAGTATAAGCAATACCTTTCTTCCTTCCTTTTCTTCCTCATTCTCTACCTCCTTCCTCTCTATATATTGAGGCTTCATTTTCTCTCTCTCTCTCCCATCCTCTTAGTCTTTCTTTTTTTTCCTCTTTTTAGATTTCACCATATAACCCAAGATATCTTCTTTTTTCTTAGGTGAGCCAAGGCATCATTCATGGATAGCAAAGGTGTGCCCCTGCAAGGTGTGTTAAATGGAATCTCATCAATAGGAGCTGAATTTGGACAAATTAAGATATCAAAAAAATGCCATTTGTTTGTTACTGTATTAAAACAATGTTGTTATTGATCAAATTATTAGGCTGTAGTGAATTTGCTAATACTTTAGCCAGCATGTATTTAAAAAATGATTTAATACACGCTTACCAAAATGCAATGCATACTGATTGAAAATATTCAAATTCATCTCATTTTAGAAAATTATTGTCTAGATCATTCTGTATGCCTGTTTCTTACTTTTTCTGTTAGTATTTCCAACAGGCAATGCCAGTCCACAGACACAAATTTAACACTGCTTTAAATTTTCTCCTATCCTTTTAGTCCCTGAATTATATAATAAACAATATTAAAACCAATGTAGCACACAATACTTAGAAATTTAATGTTGCTTCAAGGTATTTAATCTACAACTTGATTTGTCTGGTTAGGATATTTTGTTTTAGTGGATATGCCTTAATTTAGATCAATTACTGCAGCAAATCTCATCCCTAAGCATGAAATGTTGTCAGCAAATAACCAGTTCCCTTTAGTCATCGATTAGCCAAAATAAGTGATACAAAGTATAACAGTGGCCAACCTTGTACTGTTGAGTTAATTTGGACATCTAATGACATTGAGGCTAATGTCTTCAGCTAAAGGTTGATCTTGTTGGCCATGTAGATGTGAACTAGGGAAAGAGAATCAACCTATGGCATATCACAATTGATCCTTATTAAGTATAAACTCTTGTAGGTCTTTTCCCAGAAAGAAACTTAACTAGCAGGAATTCTAAAACTAAAATATATCAAACAGCATAAATAGGAACAGACATAAAGTGCTCTTCTATTAAAGCCTTCAGTGATCTATTTACAATGATGTATATTGTACAGTTCCTCGATTTACAGAAAATCATCAAAATATTAATCTATATATATCATGAATATGAGTGTTGCCTAATCCATAGAAAAGGGGATATAAAGTATTACATATATGACATATAGCTATATCTATGTATCTAATAGAAAAATTCAAGTCACTGCAATGGAAGAAACAGATTTCTGAGCATAGGACCAGCCTCAGGTACTATGCTGGGATGCAGTGGTCAGGAGAGGGAGAAATTAGAAAAGAGAACTATATAATTGAAAAAGGGATATAAAGTATTAAATATATGATATGCAGTTATATCTATGTATGTATATATCTAAAGGAGAAGTTCAAATCATTTCAATTAAAGAAACACTTTTAGCATAGGACCAACCTCAGGTCCTATGCTGGGATGCAGTGGAAAGGAGATGGGGAAATCAGAAAATAAAACTATGTAATTGAAATGACATGGGCTATACCCTTAAGCAACTTATAATTAATGATGACCTGAAGAAACACACCAGAATAAACATGTCAAATGAGTGTGACTCCTTTAAAGTAGATTAAATAGTGCATTCTTTGTTTCCTAAAATATGATTTCACTGCTTGAAATTACATTTGAGTTGAACTTTAGAAACTAATATAGTGTTAATATGAATAATCATGGAAAATTATAATCCTTTGAAAACTGGTAAATATATTTCCCCTCCTTTAGAAACACTCAAAAGCTACTTCAAACAGGTTTCAAAATAAAGGAAGGTTACAAGTTAGGCAATGGATTTTATTTTCTTGCCTGTTGTGTACTGGCTGTCAAGGTCATTATGAGGACTTTCAAAAGCATTTTGAATGACAGCAATATCAAATAAGTGCATGTCCTCCCAATAGAGGCATTTTTAATTGTTAAAACCTATTTGGACACTCAAGTTATATGTTTATGAAAAATAAGCTTCATTATTTTTATAGCTACATCCTATTATTTCCTTTCACAAACAAGAATAACAATAAGTTTTAACAGCTGCTCTGCTTGGCATTTTTCAGGTCTCATGAAACCAATATTGAATCTCTCATAAATATTTTCTGATGTTACTAGCTATAGGAAATTAGAACTGGCACAATCCTGACATTACTAAATGAAATTTTAGGATTTTTCAGCATCACATGTTAGAGTCTCTAAAATTTAAATATTCATGTTAAATGACTAAAGTTTGCTTTTATCAATATGAATTCTGAAGGCCAATGTCATTAACTATGAAAACTTATAATTCCTAAAAATAAGAGTAGGAGACATTCAAGCAATACTCTCCTAATATCCATATGCAAATGTTTATGACACAAATTTACTAGTCTGTTTAAAAATGATTTCTGTGTATTGACTTGTGTTCAATATGTTTCAGTAATTTCTATCATGAGAGGACTTGAAATAGCAAATTGCCACACAGTTAACTGGATGGACCACATATGTGGTGATCATACCCACTTGATACCACACCCAGAAACTCAAAATTGACTTTCTCCTGATTAGATAGAGGTGTCCTTTGGTATGTCTAGGTAACCAGTGGAGTAATTGTATTAGCTAACGTGTCTGTATCCAGAGTCTTCTTGTCATTGTAATAAAAAATTTATTTAAAAATTTTGTGTTTTTTTGTTAGTAACCATCTGGTGATATCTATGAATATACATATATATTTGTAATATAGATAATATATCTATATACCCCAAAGGAATATTTTCAAGTTGGCAAGCCTTGATTCTTTGACTTGCTGTTGAGTTTTACATTGGCTCAATTGTAATTGCAGAGAAAAGTATCTGGAAATCATGAAGGGTTAAGAGCTGAGACTCCTCTGCAGTGTGTCCAGGCCCTGTGTGCTTGCTGTGCTTCTCAGAGCCTTATTCCCTCCCCTGTGCTTGAAGAGCTTTCTCACAGGGCTCATCCAGAAGTGTAGCAAAGCAATCTGAACACTGTGAAACACTTCAAATATAAGAAAAAATGTGTAGTTTTAAAAACTAAAAGAGAGCCTCAGGTATCAAACATTCTGTAACTCTTTTAGAAACTAAGGCTATTTTGAACATGATGTTATTAGAAAAAAATGATAAAGTTTGTTAAATATTAATATTCAATCTTTAAATGATAGCATTTGGTGATTTTTATTTCTTAGACTTTTCAGTGTTCTGTATTTTAAAAATCCTTTTAAAATTATTTCAATGAACACTTTAGAAAAGATACTATTCCTCTTCCATCCTTAAAGGGCACATTATAATAACTGAATATTTTAAAATTAAATTTTATGCCATATGTTTAAAATGAAGGCTCAGGATACATTAATTCCAATTGATTTTAAAGTCTTATTTTCAGAGAATGAACTCATTCCATTTCTTAAATTTTATATTCATACATTTTGATTACTCAGTTATATAAAAGCAGTGTTATAGACCCTTATTCTCCACAAACTGTTGTCTTATATGTAAAATGCCAAAAGTTGTGTTTAATTTCCTAAGAAACTCATTGCTTTCTAAACATTTGCATAATACTTAGGGGTTTTTGAAATTAAAAAAAAACATAGCTTAACCATAAGAGTTGCAAAATTAAGACTTTCTTGAGTAGATATATTTTAGGTAAAGCTGCATGGTTTCATATATGATAGTCCCCAGATCACCTTGCATTGTAATTTGCTCAAGAAGGAGCCTACAGATGGCAGGTAGGAGAGGGTAAACTGGAAATTAACAGGTCTCTTCATAAGAGCATGCCACTGGAAACTCTCATCCAATCTGGGACCCCTGGAAGACAGTATGTGTCTAAGGGGAGGCCTGTCCTGGTACAACTCCTTTACTCTTTTCACCTTCATCTTGACCTTCTCAGATACCATGTTTATGGAAAATTTTGATGACATAGAGTTTTTGCAATAATTTAATTTTTATAAAAGTATATTAAAATACATTCATCTTGATTACTGTTTTTTGTTTGTTTTGTTTTGCTACTGCCTAGTCTTAGATCCTGTTTGTTAAGTCAAAGATAAATTCACCTTTAGCCAAGAAAACATACTGCAGGTAAATGGACTGTGACAATTGCATCATTACAAGCACGATTACAATGATGCAAATGGTAAGAAATAGTTATTTTAATACTATGTGAAAACTAAAGCCATAAACCAATGAAGATGTCTGAAATGGCCTACTTCTAGAGGTATACCGGGGGAAATTAGGCACCATTAAATGCAGGGCTTCTCACACAGAGCCATTCAGACCAGCACCCCAGCCCCCACCACGCCCCGCAAGGGGTGTGGGGAGACCACTCAAGTGACCACGTGAATGGTTCCCTTCTTGACAGGGGCAAAACCAGGAGGAGTTTCAGTGTGGGGGTGCGGCAGAGCATATTTTATTCTTCCTTGGACATTGTTCCTCCAAATGCCTAGTTTTCCTTGCACAGAGCGTATTTTCCTAGCATCAATTTTAGGGTCCTTTTTTGGTTTTACATCCCACTATTGGAAAAATAGCAAAGATTTTTATTCGAGGATACAAAGCTTTTAACACTAAAGATAATTAGTCCATGTTTAGGCCATAGTACACTATGCCTAAATCTGCAAAGTACCAAATGCCAGAAAAACGCTAATAGTCATAAGGTTATGTAAGAGCAATAATTAGTTGGCACATGCTTCCAAAACTCATCATTTATTCAGTTAACAATCGTTTTAATTGCAATTATCTGTAAGGTCATCAATCAGGTTTTCGATCTTGCATGTATATTTTCTAGGGAGAAGGTGTTTTCACACAGCCTCAGTAACAGCATCGTGGCCTTGGATGATGCCTTCCAAGATAAAAAGACAGCCCGTGATGTTCCTGACATATCACAGGTTTCCTTTCGACTTTAAAGAGGTTTCCTGTTAATTCTGCCATGTCAACTACATTTCCTATCAGAAATAACCTCTCTGATCTATATCAAAAGAATTGTGACATCTATGTTACCCCTGTTAGCATCAAATTATAAATACTATATAATCAATTGAGGAAAAAGTATTTCATTTCATTTTCCTTTTTTGTATTTTAGAATCTGCTAGGCTGGGAAAGAGGAAGGACCTGTAGTACAGTGAGATTAAGAACCTTCATTCCTTCCCTGAGACAGAGCTATGAGGATCAAGTTGCATTTGAATCAGCTTCTATTTCAAATAATCAGTGTGTTCACACCCATCTAAGCCAAACCATTAACTCCAATGTCTGCTAGAATTTGAGATAGAAAATGACGCGAAAATAGCAAATACTATCATACTATCAGGATAGTGAAATAAATAAATTTGGGGATTTCTAAAGTACAGTTTCATAGAAAGCACACTGCAGCTAATGCCTGCCTGGAAAGTGTTAGGTTTTGTTTGTAGTCTTCCTGCCATGTAGGTGGCAGCAACACTCAAGGCTAGAAATTTTCTTTCACATTCTCTTAGCTCAAGTGAAAACATATTCTTACTAAAAAGTCCTTGTGGGAGAGAAAAGGTTTAAAGTGTAGAGACAAATTTCTCTATGTCTTCACCTATCTCTAAAGCACTATTTTAAGGTTGTGCTTAAAACGGTTCCCATAATGTGAAAACATTCATCATTCCCCTTAATACAGAAGTCATAGCCTGCTCTCATACATGGTGGTAGTAGTAGGTTGCTGTTTCTTTATTTACTAGGTTGTTACTTCTTTACCCTTTCTCAGACTAAAGCCATTCTCTTAAGAAAAAGGAAGAAATCTGCTTTAGTCTCCTATCGCCTATGTTTTATGGGGACTATAATAAAAGGCTGTCCCCTTTTTTCTTTCTGAACATCTAATACTCAACCTGAGGATTGAGTATATGTGGAGAGCTTTCTCTTAGTTTTCAAAATGCAGTCATGTTCTCGGATTATCCCAACTAGAAATGACTGCATTCAACCCAGTTCTGTGTGCAAATCAAACGATGGCTCTGTCTGAGCAGAGAGGCTCAGGGTGCCCAAGAGTGAAGGCAGAAGACCTGGACACAAGACATGTGGGCTAAAGCTGAGACTGTTGCCACTGTGTGGATGAGGGTCCCTGCCTTGGATGTTCACTCCTGTGCCTGGGTTGAAATGAAACCAGGATGTCCTCCAATCCCTTTATAGAAATGAGTTAGTTCTTCCTTAAGTTTGAAAACTGATGGGCAATAGGCTTTTCCTCAATTCCTGGTGTTTTGCTAGACATGTTATAGCAAATATAGGCAGCCTTTCTGAAAACATTTTAAGAGTGTTCTTGTTACATAGGGTCAGTCAACAGGTCCAGAACACCAAGAAAATACACACAATTCCAGGCCCAGCTGAAACAGACAGCAGTTACATTTCCAGGCTAGGAAGAGGCCATTGAGTGATTTGGGGAAGGTGAGGTGAGATTTCTGCATCTACTGTCTTTCAATCTTATATTCCCCCTCATTTTTTGCGTCCTTCCACATCCTTGATCTTTCTTCCCATATCTATGTAGTTGAGTCCAAGTCTTTGAGGAACAGACCTGTGCATGGCATCATGCACTGCATATGGGGTCAGAGAACTGACATTGTGTCCAAGCTTCTTCGCTTTCTTACTTGCTATTTAAGATAAGAAGTTTCGTACAGTATTCCGAACCTCAATTTCCTCATGTATACATTGAGACTAATAATTGTTTTGCAAACAATACACATGTACTATTATTTAATATAGCATTACAAATACTGAAATTACTATACACACCAAAAAATGCCTGGTTAGAATCTGAATTATGGCCAACCATAATGGCCTTCTAGTGCTTAAGCAGGCTTTACTCAGATTGGATAGAGCAATGTGGCATAAACAAGCTCAATTCGTTATTTAAATAACAGTTTCTTCTTTTAAAATGTTTCATGTTAACTTGTGAGTATTGCCAAAAATCAAGGACTATTTTCAAAGTTTTTGATCATTTCTTTAGAGGTCAGAGCTTTCCTCAGCACAGTGGGTAATAATAAGTAGCAAGTAGTTATTTTTCTGGGTCCCAAAAGATAATCTACTGGCAATGTTTTATGTCAGAGTAGGATAGGCCATAGTCCATCAGGGTTGTACAAAACAAGCAGCTTCCCTCTCAACTTCTGCCAGTATGCATACAATCAAATGACACTACAAAGGATATGTCTTGTAGCCTTGGATGAGTGTGATGAAAGAGACCAACCCAGGGTAGCGCACAGTGGCTCATATTAGTAATCCTAGCACTCTGGGAGGCCGAGGAGGGTGGATCACTTTAAGACCAGCCTGGCCAACATGGAGATACCCTGCTCTACTAAAAATACAAAAGTTAGCTGGATACAGTGGTACACACCTATAATCCCAGCTACTCCAGAGGCTGAGACACAAGAATCGCTTGAACCCAGGAGGTAGAGATTGCTGTGAGCTGAGATCGCACAGCTGCACTCCAGCGTGGATGACAAAGTGAAACTTTTGAAAAAAAGAAAAGAAAGAGACCAAACCAAAACACCTAAGGACTTCTAAAGAATTGTCCTAAAACTTAGAAAGTCACTGAATTCCTGAAAGGTTTTGTGTAAAGCAAATATTTATTTCAGATTCTACCTTTGTACGTAGGATGGTTTGTGTTCAAAATGTTTTCTAAACAGACAATAATCTGAAAATGGATGAACTGAGCAGAAAATATGA